CGCATTCGTTGCTCGCTGCTCTCCGCCGCCGACGCCACTTCCGCCGGCGGAGGGGAACGGGAAGTCCCCGAGAGAGCCGGAGAAGGCCGTCACTCCGCCCAGCGCCGGACAAGGTAGGTAGGCAGGCCGAGGCAGAGAGAGAAGGCCTTGAAGGGAAGGCTTCTGAGGCGGGCTTGGCGGCCTAGAAGGGCATCCGCAGAGTCCCCCTCTCGGCCTCCGCCTCTCCTTCCTGCTGAGTTCAGGACAAGTCGGGCATTTCGGCCATTAAGGCCCGGGAGGCGGGGCCTTGGAAAGGGGAGGAGCCTTGCCCTGACGCCCCGCCCTCTTTCCCCCCAGGAAGCCCCCAGGATGCTGGGCTCTGGCTTCAAGGCCGAGCGCCTGCGCGTCAACCTCCGCCTCGTCATCAACCGGCTGAAGCTGCTGGAGAAGAAGAAGAGTGAGTCTGGGCTCCTGGGAAAGGGGAGGGGAGGGGGAAAGCCATGCTCTCACTCCTACCAACATCACAAATACATCTGGCGGGGGGCCACAGCCGAGAAGGCCCTGTCTCTCGGAACGAGAGACAGGGCCTTCTCGGCTGTGGCCCCCCACCTCTGGAACTCGCTTCCCACTGAGATAAGATCGGCTCCATCCCTCCTGTCATTTAGGAAGAATTTGAAGTCGTGGTTTTGGGACCAGGCTTTTAGACAACAGGCATTGATAGCATTTTGGATATGGAATTGACTGGAATGATGATACGGCTATTAATACTGTTCAGTGTATTGTCGAAGGCTTTCATGGCTGGAATCACTAGGTTGTTGTAGGTTTTTTCAGGCTATATGACCATGTTCTAGAGCAGGGGTCCTCAAACTAAGGCCCGGGGGCCGGATACGGCCCTTCAAGGTCATTTACCCGGCCCTCACTCAGGGTCACACTAATTCTGAAACGACTTGAAAGGTACACAACAACAATAATGCTATCTCATGAGCCAAAAGCAGGCCCACACTTCCCATTGAAATACTAACAAGTTTATATTTGTTAAAATTGTTCTTCATTTTAATTATTGTATTGTTTTAAAGTGTTTTTTGCACTACAAATGAGATATGTGCAGTGTGCATAGGAATTCATTCATGTTTTTTCTATATTATAATCTGGCCTTCCAGCAGTTTGAGGAACTGTGACCTGGCCCTCTGTTTAAAAAGTTTGAGGACCCCTGGTTTGGGGCTTGGGTTAGGGTAAAGGGTTGGGTAAGGGGTTAGGCTTAGGCTTACGGTACGGTTCAGGGTTAGGGTTTCACCATTAAAGAACCCTTACATTCCTTTTATATTATCTGTCTCTGGCCTGGCTTACATTAACGAAGTCTCTCTTGCGCAAACAGTACTCCTGAAGGAGCGATGCGCCATCTCCGTAACGCTCAGAGCTTCCGGATCCAGCTATCATACTATTACCCAACTCCCACCCTTCCAAACAGCCTCAGGCCCTTTCCTTTTCCCTCTCCGCCACTTAAGCGGCAGAGAGGGAAAAGGAAGGGGCCTGAGGCTGTTTGGAAGGGTGGGAGTTGAAGTCCGAAACACCCACAGTGCCGAAGTTAGCCCATGCCAGATTTTAAGACATATTTCCACAAAATACACAAAAAACAATACATCCTGTATAGAAATAATGGTTGAATTCTAGATCAGCTATTTAGCAAATCTTTGGGTGCATGGCAATACAGCACAGATAAATTCCTAGTTCAAAGCAAAGTAGTATCCTCAACCCGCACCCTACTAAACCTGACTTACTAAGCATCAACTGTTGCATTCTGTAGCGGAGGGATCATAAAATGCATCCAGTCCAGATTTTTCAGGCAGAAAACACTGCAAGCAGCAGAGGTCTGTTCTCCTGTTGACCGGGATGCAGCAGACAGATCTTCCTACTTCCTTCCTGTGATCAGCATTCAGAGTGGCAAGATCCAAATTCCTCCTTGCTTGCAGGAGATGGGTGGGAAAAGAGATCTGCTGTGTCCCAATGGATAGGGTAGAACATGCTTGTGAAGAGGAGGGCAACTAAAATGATCAAGGGTCTGGAGAACAAGCCCTATGAGGAGCGGCTTGAAGAGCTGGGCATGTTTAGCCTGAAGAAGAGAAGGCTGAGATGAGACATGATAGCCATGTATAAGTATGTTAGAGGAAGTCATAGGGAGGAGGGAGTAAGCTTGTTTTCTGCTGCCCTGGAGACTAGGACACGGAACAATGGGTGCAAGGAAGGAGATTCCATCTGAATATTAGGAAGAACTTCCTGACTGAGAGCTGTTCAGCAGTGGAACTCTCTGCCCCAGAGTGTGGTGGAGGCTCATTCTTTGCAGGCTTTTAAACAGAGGCTGGATGGTCATCTGTCAATGGTACTTTAAATGTAATTTTCCTGCTTCTTGGCAGAATGGGGTTGGACTGGATGGTCCACGAGGTCTCTTCCAACTCTAGGATTCTATGATTCTAAGAGCAAAACTATATTTGAGTACAAAGAGTATATCACAGTACTACTTTAATGTGTAATTATTGTTGATTTTAATTTTGAAAAGAATGTGGCATTAATCGTTTTGAGAAATGTATTGCAACGAAAACAAACCAGTGCAGGTTAGGCTGTTAAAGTGCACATGTGGTAAGAAAACAATGCACAACATCAGAATTCAGCTATCTTCATGGACAGGGGTGAAGAGGGCTCAAAAATAACTGATTATTGTATATTTATTTTTTTTATTTATTTACGACATTTATATGCCACTCTTCTCACCCTGAAGAGAACTCAGAGCGGCTTACAAGTAAAAAGTAAATATATTATTATCATAGCACAATATTAATATTGTATATTACATTGTACTATAACATTATACTGTAGTATTAATAGTAATATTCCATTTAATATAAAATATATAAGTATATAATTTTATGTGTAGTATATTGTATTACAGTATAATATTATCACATTATAATATTATTCATTATAATATTATACATTATAATATTATACCATTATTATACAATGGTATGGTTGCTGATGACACGATAAATAAATAATTATAATATTATCACATTATAAGCACCTAATAGTCACGTTTTTGTTCACAAATATAAATGCAACTCTTTCCTTCCAGTTTTAACAATTAATGCTTCTCATAATTGCCCATCATTTATGTTACAGCACAAATATAAGGACTTTGACACTATAGACTGAATGGTGATACAATAGAATTAATGAGAACTTTGATATAATTGGGCGGAAAAGAAATACATAACATGCGTAAGAGTAAGCATTTGTCATTAAAACCTGTCTGGAAGGAAGGAGGCGGGGTCTTCTGGCACCTCCCCTCCTTGAGAGAGACCCCACCCCTTTCCCCTGCAGCGGAATTAGCCCAAAAGGCCCGGAAGGAGATTGCGGACTACCTCTCGGCCGGGAAGGATGAGCGCGCCCGCATCCGGGTGGAGCACATCATCCGGGAGGACTACCTGGTGGAGGCCATGGAGATCCTGGAGCTCTACTGTGACCTGCTTCTTGCCCGCTTCGGTCTCATACACTCCATGAAGTAAGGGGCCAGGGAGGGAGGGAGGGATTGAAGGCAGAATGGGGGAGGGGCAGCTTCATGGATGGGCCTTGAGCCCCAGCTGCCTCTTCCTTCGAGGCTGAGTCGGTCGCTTCTCCCATCCTGCAGGGAGCTGGACTCTGGCCTGGCGGAAGCCATCTCCACCCTCATCTGGGCAGCTCCCCGGCTCCAGTCAGAAGTGGCGGAGCTCAAGATTGTGAGTAAACAACGTCAGGCGTTCTATACAGTCATAACATTCCCCGTTAAGAGCAGGAGGGACTGTATTACCTCCAGTGAAGGAGCCAGATACCTTCAGGTGTTGTTGTGGTCTCCTCCTTCAGTAACAAGGACACACAAACAAAGGAATGTTTTTTTCTTTAGTTGCAACAGCAAACACAGTATATAAGTATGTGCAACCCCTCTCTTTACAGTCCTCATCAACTCTTATACCTTCATCCATCCTCATCAAACTAACAAAAGGTTACTACAACCTATATACTACAGTCTTGTCACTAGCCACCACACGCCAAATTACAATGATGCCTGAGACTCTGATCCTGTTATTGTTGGGTGAGTGGGCTTATTAACAAAAGATCCTCCTCGTAAACGTATAGCAGAGTAATTTAATAGCAGCAGTGTGACCCAGCACCAGTAGCCCAGCAAAGTGATAAAAAGGACAAAAAACATACAGACCAATGTGATCTCTTCCATAGGAGGCTTTTCTCTATAGCAGTAGTTCTCAAATTGTGGGTGTCCAGGTGTTTTGGCCTACAATTCCCAGAAATCCCAGCCAGTTTACCAGCTGTTAGGATTTCTGGGAGTTGAAGGCCAAAACATCTGGGGACCCACAGGTTGAGAACTACTCCCCTATAGCAAAATAATATGATTGCACTATTTACAAGAACAAGCTTTCCATAACACAAATAAAGTTATTTATACTTCTTCTTTGCTTCCACACTGGGCTTCTTTCTCATGCAGATAAACAGCTTCGCTCTCATTGAGCTTCTTTTCACACTGAATTTACACAGAAGCTTGACACAGTAGCTTTTTACACACAGCAGCCTTCACACTGGAACTTTACACACAAGGCCTTCAACCTGGGGCTTCTTTCACGGAAGCCTTTTCACATCAGGCCTCTCACACTCTGAGGCCTACCTCACACTGAGGTTTACTAACACTGAGGTGTACCTCACACTGAGACCTCTTTCAGGCTGAGGTCTTTCTCAGACTGAGAACTCTTCATACTGAGGACAACTAACACTGAGGTGTACTAAGCTACAGGAACACCTACTTAACATTGAATTGCAGCTTTTGCTGAGTCATTGCATCCATTTAACCTTTTCAGTGCTTGACTCACATTTTTGTAATTAAAAATAACTAGTTAATTTTTAATATTTCTGACTTAAAGAGAGACTGTGTAACTTTGCTGATCTGACAGACTGAGAGGGGTCAGGTCTGAGAGAAGGCTTGGGGGGGGGGGTCCTGGCCTTTTTAAGAAGTTGGTCAGTGGAGGAGGAGACTGGTTCTGGTCCCACTGCCCCCGACTCTTTGCAGACCGTCTATGCCCACCCCTCTAAGAAGGCTCCCATCCTGAGTTGTGCCTCTTTGTCCAGGTGGCGGACCAGCTGTGTGCCAAGTACAGCAAAGAGTACGGGAAGCTCTGCCGCACCAACCAAATTGGGACCGTCAACGACAGGGTGAGCAGTGCCAGGCTCTGCTGAGGGGTGGAACGGGGGCTCTGTGCTTCTTAGAGATGAGCCCTTGGCTTTGTGAAGGGCATTTTTTGGGCTGCACAGCTGTGTGTAGAGCAAGCATGGGCCCTTCTCACAACTCACAATTCCCAACACCCAAAATGCCTTGAGGGAGGGCTGAAGTTGGCCCAGCCCTAGTGTAGAGGCATGATTCTTTGGCTTTTCAGTCCAGCTGGAGGGGGCAAGGCTGCCAAGGGCTTATTCCTTTGCCCTCACCACCCCTTGTTTTGCAGTTGATGCACAAGCTGAGTGTTGAGGCCCCTCCCAAAATCCTGGTGGAGAGGTACCTGATTGAGATTGCAAAGAACTACAGCGTGCCCTACGAGCCGGACTCCGTGGTCTTGGTGAGTGAGGGCCGGCAGCAGGGAAGGGGCTCAGCTTAGCAGAGGGAGAGGGGTGTGTCTTCTGTCCTGGGCGACTGTCCCTCCCATTTATATTGTATTATTAGTAGTATTATATTGTATTACGTTATGAACAATATTAAATGTACATACAATGTATATAAATAAAAATGTAAATGCCTTTTTGTTCAAAACCTCAAATCTCCCAAAATACTTCACCGATTGCTTTGAAATTTTGACACAACATAGCATTCGAATAGGCACATGTTTTTATGTTTTCACATACCTAGTTTTGTATAGGTGTCACACCTGTGACAGGTTAAAATGTTTTCCCCCCAAAAAACATCGCCATCTGCTGGACGTCAAAGCAGCACACGCTATACTACAGTTATTATAATGTATTACATTATATAAGAAGGTTGTGTTTGTGGTTAAAGATATACAGGAAAATGTGGTTGGTGGAGTAGGGAAGGGAAATGGGAGAAAAACTAAAAAATGTAATGAGAACAAACTTGTAAAGAATGTGAATAGAGAATATAGAAATACTTTACCACAATGTAAGCTCACAATAGACATTTATTATTGGCTCAAAGATACTGTTATCTTGTATTTTGAAAAAAATAATCTTGCAGGCTGAGGCCCCTGCAGATGCGGAGAGCGACCTGATTGACGTGGGATTCGTGGATGACCCAAAGAGAGGGGGCCGGGGCGGAGGGGGCGGGGGAGGCTTTGCAGCCCCGTTGGTCGGCCCCGATGGAGTTGCACCCATGCCTTTGCCCATGCCAATGCCCATGCCCTCTCCGGCTCCTCCGTTCTCCTTCCCAGCCCCAAGGGGACCACCGGTAAGAGTCTTTGAACCTCCTGGGTGTTTCCACAGTAGGGTAGATCTAGAGTGGTTGGGAGCCTGGGCCTCTCCCTCCCTCCCACAGGTCCTTCTGTCCACCCCCAGAGATGCTTTGCTGCCAAGGGATCTCATTCGGCCTTTTTTTCAGCAGGAGAACTTCAACGGACTCCCTGTGGGCACCTACCAGCCATTCACCGGCCTTCGCCCTCCGCAGATTCCAGCCACTCCACCCACCTACGAATCTGTAAGTGGCAGCTTTTGGAAGGCCTTGGCTTTCTTGTTGGGGAGGGAAGCATGGGGTGCCTGGCACCTCTACTGCCATTTTCTCCTGACTTGGCAAGAAATGTCCCTCTTTCCCGCCCCCAAACCCGTCCTTGTCACCTGGGAATGGTTTTAATTCCAGGTGGGGGCACCCCTGAGGCAAAATCGGGCATCAGAGGGGCCTTTGGCTTCCCTCCCCCAACAGCTGTTGGTTTAAAGGGGTGGAAGCAGGGGGGAGGATTCCCTGCAAAGAAGGGAGGACACCCATGGATGCATTTCTCTCTTTAAGATTGACGATATAGGTGTTGACAAGAATGTGCCACCACCACAGGTGACAGGTAAGTGGAGTGTGAGTGTGGGGAGCACATGCCATGGCTGTAAAAGAAACTCTGGGTCTTGGAGGGTGCTCCTTTCAGGGGTGGGAGTAGAAGGAGCATGGGAAGGCTGTTTCCTCATCATGATCACCTTCAGCTGCTCTCTGGCTCGGGGCAGGGCCTTCTCCTCTGAGTAGGGGTCCTTCATGGTTTGACCTTTGGCTCAGCCCCTTTCTCCACCCTCCCTCCTTCCTGCAGGCCCCAGCCCCAAGCCAGCCCCCCGAGCGCGGCCCCCAGCCTCTGCACCCACTTCAGGGGATAACTTTGTGCTGCCGGAGCTGCCTTCAGTGCCAGACACCCTTCCCGCTGCTTCTGCCGGCTCGGCCTCCGAAGACATAGACTTCGACGATCTCTCCCGGAGGTTTGAGGAGCTGAAGAAAAAGACCTAAGAGGGAGCTGAGCGGTGCGGACTGGCCCTTCTTCCTTCTCGACAGGGCTCTCTCCTCTTCCTCTCTTCTTCTGGCGTTTCCCTGCTCTTCTTAACACCCAGCGCCATCTCTGCACTCCCTCTGCTTCTCTGATTCCTGCTGCTTTGGCTCTCGAAGATGGAGCAGGAGTCACCTCCAAGCCCCGGGCAAACTGTGCTCTCTGGGAGAAGGCGGCTGGGGAGGCCTAGCAGCTTGGTGAACGGATGCCTGCCCTCGCTCTCTCTCCGTGGCCTGAGGCTATGCTGCTGCTGCTGCGGAGGAGGGGGCGGGGAGCTGCCTTGGGGCCCCTGCTGCATTCTCAGGGAGCCCTCCGGGGCCTTTAGGACTTTTCTGTGGGGAAGGGAGCTGGGGAACGGGGCTCCCACCCTGTCGTCTCCTCTGGGGTTGGGGCTCTTGCTGCTTGGTGTACTTTAGGGGGGGCAGGCACATTTTCCCGCCTCAGAGGGCCCTGGCGCTGCCTTAATGGGACCCCAGGAGTCCCCCCTCTCTCCAGGGTCCTCCCCCCTCATCTCCTGCTCCTTCCCGCCCCGTCCCCAGCCTCATCTTGGGCTGGTTTTGTGGCTGTGGCTCCACTCGTGCTGCTTGGTTCCCTGTGGCCCGGCCTGCGCAGAGGCCCAGTCGGGGATGGCAGCCTTTCCTCCCCTGTATGATAACACATCGTATGTAACCATTTCACAAGGCTTTTCTGAGACAATTTGGTGGGTTTGTACCTTCTCTGTTGATTCTAAATAAAGTCAAGGAATCATTTGTGTGGCGAGTGGCATCCATCCACGTTCACTGGTCTGCTGGCAATGGAGGGGTCAGGAAGGCAAGAGTGTCTGGGTCAGCCCCACCTTCCAGGGCCCCTTCATCCAAGGGTCCTCATGCAATGGCTTTTTTTTTTTTGTCAAAGGGAGGAGTCTGCCAGTCACCGAGAAGGACTCTGATACCAATGGCAGCAAAAGCAGGTTTTCTGTTTATTGAGAAAACAATAGCAGTGACCTTAGAGACCCCCAAAGTTTTAACCCCAAGTCCAGTTTCTCTTCTGTGTGAGGACAAGGATGGGGGAGTGCTCTGGCTGTCCACAACCAGAAAAGGGCCGTTGACCACAACATGGTTTCAGTCTTGGGCCTCCCTGGGAGTGGCCGGCAGGACCCGGTGTTTGATGCCAAAGAGGAGCGAGAATTTAAGCTGAATCAGCTGCAGCATCGACTCCTCCTTGCTGGCCTGTGGAGGAGGGAGAGAGGGGAGCACCTTGAGCTTCGGCTGAGATCTGGCTGCAGTGCATGGGAGTCATTGAGAGGCGTCTTAAGTGGGTCTTGGCTCCCTGGTGGGAAGAGCAAGCCCTCAGCTGCCGACACAGGGCTGGACAGGCATGGCTGCCAGGGGTGTCTCTGCAGCTCCTCCCAAGGCCCTCCATTATTTCTTTGGCTTCTGAAAGCAGTGCTCTCCAGAGCGCAGCCCAAAGGGAAGGAAGCCCATGGTAGAGGTGTGCTTGCATGACAGCCCTGGGTTGCACCTGCCTTGGCAGCCTTCATCTTCCGCCCAAAGACTATCAAGAGGACCGAGACTAAGAGGTTGATGGTGACAAACACCATGGAGAAGATGCTGGAGACGACCAGGATGGAGCCCAGGACAGGGTCCAAAGCGACAACCTAAGACAGACAGAGTGGAGTTGCCATCATCCAGAGTCTCCTCCCCATGGATGCTCAGAGGCAGGCCCTTCTTTCTTAGTTAGATGGGGAAGGTCTCAGGACCAGCCTGGTTCTAACTCCTGTCTCCCAATGGAGTATGAAGGAAAGGCAGGTCCTCACCTCTTGATAGTCAAAGAGACCCATCAGGAGGCCTACAATGGTCACTGCCGAGTCCAAGACGGTCTTGTAGTCTGAGATGCTCCAGCCAAACAGGATGTTGCACTAGGGGCAACCCAAGGAGCACATGGGTGGGTTGGGGGGAGGGGGGAGAAGCAGGGACACACAATCAGCCGGACGGAGGAGACTGGCCCTGTCCCAGCCCTACCTTTCCAGTTCCCCCCTTGGTTTCTGTCAGCTGGCCAGTGTCTTACCGCCATGGAGTAACCTGCCAGGAGCACCAAGAGGACCAGGAGGAAGCCCAGGAGGTCCTCCCAGGCAGCCTGCAGTGTCTGTGTGATGATCTGCATCCGGGCATTGAGTCGCAGGAGGTTCCACAACTTGACGGTAGCCAAGGCCACCAGAAAGGCGATCAGGTAGGTGACTGCTGCGTCCACCTCAGCCATTTCGTAGAGGCTAAGGAACCTGCAGTGGGGCAGATGAGCCAGGGAGTCTGACCACATGGTGAGAGTGGGAGCCCCTAAGAAGCCTCAAGGGAAGTAGTGGGGGTCTGTCCCTGAGGCGCTTGGCAGGAGGGGGCCAGGGGTTAGCTGAGACTCACCGGTGGCGGTTCTGGCGATATTGAGTGAGGACCTGCTGGGCCAGGAAGGCCCTCTTGAATTGTAGCCCGGAGGCAGCCAGGCCCACCAGGAGGGCACTGGCGTCCAGCAGGTTCTTCTTGCTGCCAAAGTAGCCCCACTTCTGCTGCACCATCCGACGGCCCTGGCACAGAGAGCGAGGAAGCCATGAGCCATACCAGAGAAGAGGAGACAGGTGGCTGGACAAAAGTGGGTGGCTCAAATGGATGCAGCCTCCCCCTGAGGGGACTGGCGCTCCTCCCTCTGGCCCTGTATTGGAAAGGGGATGACGGGAGATGCCGCCTGGCATGCCCCGGGACCTCACCTGCAGAAAGACCTGGCCCAGGAGGAGGAGGAGGAAGGCAATCCGGGCAAAGGCTAAGTGGACTAGAGTGCGGCCACTGGCGTGGAGGCGCAGAAGGCGCAGCTCTGCTTTGCTCTGCAAGGCCCCTGCCACAGAAGAGCAGAAGAAGAGAGTCTGGCAGAGGCTAGAAAGGGGGCACCCCCTTTGCTCTCCCCCTCCCAGTGCTCCCCCCCCCCCAATACCTATTCCATTGTTCTCTAGGATCAGTGTGATGGAGCAGAAGAGGTTCACGTTTACATTATAGACCACTAGCTCCACAAAGATGGCTCGTGTTTCCCTGTCAAGCCAGCGATGCCGCTTCAGATACCTGAGGACCCTGAGAGAGGGAGGGAGGGACAGAAAGGGGTGCACAGGCCTGGCCTTGGACTGCTTCTGCTGGAGGCCCCCACAACTGCTCTTGGGCATTTGGTACCCTCAAGTGGTTCCTCTGAGTGCTTGATGACCACAGACAGCAATAGGGACACAACCAGCCCCACCCTTGAATTGGGGACCCAGCGCTCCTGCCACTTGCATCTTGATGGAAGGACTGGGAAGAGGAGGCAGAGCTCTGAGACCAGGGAGGGAGCAATGCCATTCCAGAAGAATACCAGTTCCAGGGATGCCACTCACCTCTGGGCATGGCTTGCGTTGGTGCCCAGGTGGGCCACATACCCACTTCCGGGGTAGAGGGCAAACCTGCCCCAGACGGGGTACTCCCTCAAGGTACTCTCGCTCTGGAATGCCCAGGGGCCCTTCTGCTCCTGCCCCTCCCTCTTCTGGCCGGGAGGGCCCCAAGAGTGGGCAGAGGGGGCCCCCATCTCCCTGCGTAGGGAGAGAGGCAGCCAGGAGTTAGGGGGTCCCTTCTTCTCCCGGATCTGCCGCAGTCTCACGCTGCCCACCAGGAGCAAATTTCCATCCTTGGCCAAACCTGAGGAGAGGGGAACAGCCACAGAAAACAGGTAGAGGGACGCAAGAGAAAGGCATGTGTGTGTGTGTGGGGGGGGGCTCTGCTGTAAAGGGCTAGCCTCCCCCCCCCCCCACTTTCCAGCTCCACCTCCGACTGAGCACCTGCTGCTGGGTCTCCTCCTGCTCCCTGAGAGTCATCCTCCTTGCCATAGATGGCYGGCATCAGGGTCTCCAAGGCCCAGAAGTAGAACTGCCTGGTGGTCTGGACCTCGGACAGCCCAGCGGTCAGCCTCCTCTGGAGGGCAGCGTTCAGGTAGAAGTCTTCAGGTCCCCTCTCAATGTAGCTGAGTGCCATCAGGACGGCCAGGAAGACAAGCTGCCCTGCGATGGAAAGAGGAGGAAAAGGGTCTTGCAAGAAGGGTGCTAGATTCAACCTTCTTGCAAAGCCTTCACTCGGGACCGCAGGGTCAACTACCTCTCCCTCCCTCCCTTTATCTTCCTCACCCACGATCTCTCGGAGCCAGGAGTGCAGCTTTTTTTCCCTCAGGGCCCGATCCGTGGCTCTTGCTGTGGGCTTCAGAGCGGGGGGCCTGGGCGGAGGGCCGGCGCAGTACTGGGAGGTTGGATGACAGTGTTGTCTCTCTGGAGGATTGGCAAATGGGGAAGGGTAACCAGGCTGTGGCTTTAATGGCCAGGGTCTTCTGAGGCCAGTGGTCCTCTACTAATACTAGCCCTGGCCCTGAGCCCCCTGACCTGGCTCCAAGGATGGGGATGGGGAGCCATGCAGGGGAGCCTTTGAGGTCTATTCACCTGCAAGGAGGGCACCCAGCGCCTGGTGCAGCCGACGCTCTTGTCCCTCATCCTCCCAGAGCTGCTTCTTACGCATCAGTGAGAACAGAGCAGTCAGGACCAGCACCTGCCGATGGGGAGATGAACATGAGGTCTTCACCAGCCCCTACCTTGTCCCCACTTACTTCATGAGGTCTGAGAGACCTGATCTAGATAGCTACAGAGGAGGGTGCTGTGCGGCCGCAGCTCTCCAAGCCCCCCCCCCCCCCCAAATTCTACTTCATCACATTCACTAAATTCCACTGAGTGCTACACTTAAAATCCGGGAAGCCCCTCTCCTCATCACATTAGGTTGGATTCACGTGTAGGATAGAACATTCTTTGCGTATCTTAAGTGTGTGTGCCAGCATTCTTTTCAAACGTTTCAAGAGCTGGTTGGGAAGTGGATTTTTTTGAAATGTGGTGGCATTTGTTGCTCCCAGGTTTAAAATGAAATGTTTCTCCAAATTGTGGGAGGAGCCAAAAGTTCCCTTGTTAGGGAAAGCATTGCCTTTTGTTCACCGAGTTTTGTATTTTGCCAGAACAATTTCTTTTTAAAAAAACAGCCTTTCTGGGTCCTTTCCTTCCCTTCTCTTCCTTCCATGATATGTTGTGCTTTGTGTTGCATGGGAAAGCCAGGAGAAAAGGATTGTTGTTGTTGTTGTTGTTATCGTTATTATCATAGAGTTGGAAGAGGCCTCATGGGCCATCCAGTCCAACCCCCTGCCAAGAAGCAGGAAAATTGCATTCAAAGCAATGTCTCCATTCTGTGCGGTCCTGGAAGTCAGTTTTCCAAAGTCCATACCATTCTCTTGGTGCATTTACAGTACAGAATGAATGCCCTTGCACTCCACTTTAAATGCCATGTCTCCAGGAGCTGGTCTTGGGAATTGCAGTTTCCAAAGGTCCGTTAACTTACTCTGGGTGCATCTACACTGTGAAACTAATGTAGCTGGACCTTAATTTCAATACCATAGCTCCATACTATGCAGTCCTGGGAATTATAGTTTTCCAGGGTTCCCACCCTTCTCTATGGAGCAGCAGAGAGAAAGAGAGAGAGCATCGCCACTTTCCCTCCCTGCCTGCTTCCATGTGTCCGGAATTGAAGACATGTTAACAGCTGACATGTGATCTCAGGTTTTAGTAGGGAAGCTGGGATTTCAAAGAGAGGAGGGTTTTTCAACAAAGAATGTGGTGGTAGAGATGTTGGGTGGGGCCAAGTCTATATAATGTGAAGACAAATGAACTCAAAGAATGTGGAGTACTACTGAGTCGCATTAATACATTCAACAGTGTGATGATAGTAGGAAAACCATCCGTTTCATTGAAAAATGGAGCTCTACTCAGCCAAACGTTTCATCTGTTTCATTGCATCAGTGTGATGAAGTGACCTGTTGAGTCATTGGCAGGAGCAAGTGCTCCTTGGATGGGAGCCCACCTTGAGTGGCTGCATGAGGAGGACGTTCTGCAGCACGGAGAGCAGGACGGAGAGCGCCCAGCGGCCAGCCCTGTCCCGGCTCATCTGGAGGCTGTAGAGCACCGTGAAGAAGGCAGAGGCCAGGCTGAGGATGCCCACCAGGCCCCAGCAGAGGAAGCCCCAGCGGCTGGGAAGGCGACAGCGGGAGCAGTCGAGGAAGGGTAGTGATGGCGGTGGCGCCAGCAGCACCTCCTGGCTTGCGTCTCCAGCTGCGGGGCTGCCTTGCTGGCTGTGGGGCCAGCAGCATCCAAGGAGGAGGAGAAAGAAGATGAGTGGGTGGGGGGCAGTACTACCACCGCCTTCCATGGCAACATACGTCAAGACAGCCACAGCTTCCCAAGCCTTCCCTCAGGGCAGAAGCAGCCTCCTCTCAGGGTAGGTGCAGCCCTCTGCCACTCATTTGAGCCCCAGTCGCTCAGATGAGTGGCAGAGGGCTTCCCATTGCCTTTAATACCTGTACCTGGGCCCCATGGAGAGGGTGGCTGTCATGTTGGATGGTGGCTGGTGCTGCTCCAGGTGCTTCCGGAGCTTATGCAGCTGGTCTGCTGCATGGAGGTAGTCGTAGGGCTTTGGAAGGTTGTGCCATTCCATGCCACGGAGCTGCTCCTCCAGGACCTTCACCATGAGGCAGATGTAGCTGTGGAGGCTGCGGTACCTCTCTGGAACAAGGAGAAGGGCAAAGGCACATCGGGCTGGAGTCTTATGCTCCGTATCTCAGCCTCCAGGGTCCAGGCCAGCACCCAAAGTGTGGCAGTGTGTGCATATGCCTGGAGGGGGATGTATCTGGCTCCATTACCCTGAGGGGGTCCTCCTGGGTCTTCCAAGGCTTGCAGGTGTGACCGGACGAGGGCACAGAGGCTGGCCACCAGCTCCGGCACCTGCTGCAGGGCCCCTGGGAAGCCACCTGCCTCTCTGTGCTGCCAGAGGCCGTTCTTGAGGAGGAAGCCCAACATCTCCATCAGCTCCTGGGAAAAGAGGCATTTGGTCCCTCAGAAGCAGAAGAGACAACAAGCAGCTTCATCCTGCAGCAGATTCAGCAAAGGCTTGGTCCAAAATGATGTTAAGAACAGATTCAAAGTACTGTTATTAAATCTATATAAATAAAAATGTAATGTTCCTTTGTGGGATTAACATAATTCAAAAACCGCTGGATGAATTGACACCAAATTTGGACACAATACACGTAAAAGGCCAACGAGTGACCATCACTCATAAAAACACTGAAAAACACAGCAGAAGAGACTTAAAAAGCCAAGAAATAAAAAATACATTACAACGCATGCACAAAACCACATACATACACATATACACATTCTTACACACACAAAACACATATACACAGACTGGGCCACAGCAACATGTGGCAGGGGATGGCTAGTACATTATAATTATAAGAAGCAGCACAAGCATTTGCTGGAAAAGGAATGCAAAGACTGCTCATTGAAATTCTCATTTTTGATTTCAAAACAACAATCAGGACTCTCTAAAAGTAAACAGAGTGCAGCCATAATAAGGTGAGTCTTTGGGGGAAATATCATCTCTAGAACCAGGGAGGGAAAGGAGGGAGGACTGAAGCCCAAGCGCTTCCCTGTTCCAGAGGCCAAAAAAGGTGTCTCTGTTGGGCGAGTGGACTTAATAACAAGACTCTCCTCATAAATGTACAGCTTGAATGTACAGAGTAACTTATTAGCAGCGGCATGACCCAGCACAAGTAGCCCAAAGTGATAAAAAGAACAAAAACACACAGACCAATGTTGTCTCTTCCATAGGAGGCTGTTCTTTATAGCAAAATAATATGGTTGCACTATTTACCAGAACAAGGCTTCCATAACACAAAGTTGTTTATATTTTCTTCTTTGCTTCCATGCTGGTCTTCTTTCTCATTCAGATAAACAGCTTCACTCTCACAGAACCTTTTCTCACACTGAAGTTACACAGGAGCACTTTACACACAGCTGATTTCACACATGATGGCCTTCAGCCTGGGGCTTCTCTCACCAAAGCTTCTCACACACCAGGCCTACTCACACCAAGGCCTACTAACACTGAGACCTACCTCACACTGAGGCCTTTCTCTCACTCAGGCCTTCTCACACTGAGGGTTCTCTCAGACTGATGCCTCTCTCATACTGAAGCAAAATAACACTGAGGACTATTTGTACTGAGGCCTATTCATACTGAGGCCTACTAACACACTGAGGCCCTTCTTCCACAGAGCCCTCTCACAGACTGAGAGCTACTAAGCTACATGCACACCTATATTGAACTACAGCTTTTGCTGGCTCATTGCATCCGTTTAACCCTTTCAGTGCTTGACTCACATTTTTGTAATTAAAAATACCTACCTAATATTTAATATTTTTGACAGTCTCACCTGCTGCAGGTGTGTGAGTGGGTCCACTGGTGAAGGGGGTAGCGGAGGGCAGGGGGGCCTGGTGCTGGGAGGACGCTGGGGCCCAAGGGTAGGGTGGACAAGCTTGAAGATGTGGACAACTATCAGGTTCACCGGCACCATGAGGACAGCAACCTGCACACTGACCATCAGCTCCTTCCATGTCACCACAAAGGGCCCTGTAGACCGGGGGGGGGGGGGGATGCTGGGGCCCTGGGGCCTTGTTCTGCCACAGGACACAACCAGACAAGGAGGGGACCCAGTCAAGTAGCACAAGAAGAAACCCCCAGGAGGATGAAGTGTATGGGAGGGGGCAGTCAGGCCAAGCTCTGTGATCAAGGACCATGGCTGAGGGCTCCTCACCTGCCTCTGGTGGGGACTCGTCATCACTTGGGTGTTCCTTCCAGAACATGATGTTGATGAGCATGGAGCAGAGGAGGAGGGCGAGGCAGCAGGAGAGGCGCTGGACCCGGGTGAAAGGGCTCCAAGCAGAGCAGGTCAACACCGAGAGCCATAGGTGCTCCTGCGTCAGCTTCCCCACCAGCCCAGCCCAGAAGAGGTGCCTGCAATGGGGGGAGAGGAAGAGAGGCTTCTGAGGGAGGTGCAACCCTCTGGGTATGTGCCACCCTCCTCAAGTCTACCTCAAGCCATGCTCCCAAGGGTCAGCTGGCGACAGAAAGGCCCCCTGCATGTGTCCAGAGACTTTCTTCACACTTCGCCCAAAGTTCCTTACCAGCGGGACAGGAGCTCCTCCTGTGAAGCAGCCACAAAGACCTTGTCCACTTGCCCGTCATCCATGTCTGAGGCCAACCAGCAGTTGCACAGGAAGTACCACCTCCTCCTCAAACTCAGGTCTTGGACAACCAGGCGGCGCACAAACCTGAGTGCAGATGAAGGAGAGGCTTCCTGACACCCTGCAAGACCCAACAGCCCCACCCCCTGCACCAGCCTTGGGTCCTAGCCCAGCTCCCCTTCCTGGTTAGGAGCCACATACCAGCTGGGACTGGATCCATTCTCATTGTGCCAGAGGCGGACGGCATGGAGGTCTCCCAGGGGCCTGTGAGTGGCCAGGAGGAAGGCATCCATCCCACCGCGCTCAAGGCCACTGGAGGCTTCTGAGCACCACAGCAGGTGGGGGCGGCTCCGTCCCTCAGTCCCATAAAGGGTTAGGATGACCTGGAGACAAATGGGAGCCTGGTCAAGCAAGTAGCCACAGGGAGTGAAGGCACATGAGTGCTGGGTAGCAAGGCCCTGTCTGGATGGACGGTGCAAATGGATCCATCAAAGCAGAGGTGGCTTTTGGGGAATTCTGCTGGGAAGAAGAGTTTTATTTTTTTATTTCTCGTGTCAGGGCAGCCAGTCAATTATATTACATTTCTAACAGAACAACATGATCACATCAGCCGCGCCAATCCCTGAGGAATACGAGCATTTTATTGAAATCGTGAAAACCTGCTCACGGGCCTCCATACCGAGAGGCTGCAGAACCAACTACCTTCAGGGCATTACTCCTGAAACAGCTGCCTTGTTGGAAAACTATTACAGGCTCCACAACGAAGACCTTTAGTGAGCAAACCCTTCAGGCAGCGCAGAGCATTGTGTCCTCCATCTCTGAAGCCAAGAAAGAACAGTAGATAAAGCTGATCACAGAGGTCGACATGGGCAGGAGCAGCCAGAAGGCGTGGAGGCTGCTGAGATGGTTGAGCAATGACCCCTCACAAACTAATACCCATGCCAACATAAAGGCAGATCAGATAGCACACCAACTCTTGAAGAATGGGAAACCCAACTTTGCCACCAAAGTAGGAAAGAAACCAATAGCCAGACAACCAGAGATTGAGAACAACAACCTCCATGAACCCTTTACATCTACTGAATTGGACATGGCTCTCAATAAATGTAAAAATGGCAGAGTAGCTGGCCTGGATGATCTACAGATGAGAAGAAGAGTAAGCAGCCATGAGGAAGGGCCCCTTCCCTCCTGCACCTGAGCGGAGGTTCCTGCACCAAAGCGATAACCGGTGAAGACCTGGACCAAGTACAGGAAGTGGGCACCAGGGTCATTGTCTGCCAGGGCCAGGACCCTCACCTGCAGAGGAAAAACAACATGGTTGGGCTGCCCATGGCACCCACTGGCACAGATGATGTGCCAAGCCCCTGAGACTACCCCCTGTCTCTGGTTTGGGGTGCTTTGCTCTCTGGCCTTGCCTTCTGGGCGTCTGCCCTCTGTCTCCATCGAGCCCAGAGGAGGGTGGCTGCGTAGCCCAGCAAGAGGCTGCTGAGGAGGGCCACTCCAGCTGGGTTCTGACCCACTCTGCTCAGGAGGAGCCCCGTTCGCCGGAGGTCAATCACATGTGGCAGGACCAGGGAGAAGCGTCCAAAGAAGCTGAGGTGGTTGCAGAGGCACTGGGTGCGGAGCAAGGAGCTCTGGGGACCCACCTGTAGGCAGGGCAGAGAAGGGCAGTGGCTGTGTCAGAAAGAGGGACCTCCGCCCCGCCACCTGTGCTACCACACTTCCCTCCACGGCTGACCCCATTCTGTACCCGGCATCCGTCGGTCCTCCAGGCCTGGTCCTGGTTGTCCCAGTAGTAGCACCCAGTGCTGAGAATGTCCACCGAGAGGTTCCAGGAGCCATTTGCCGCAGGGGCAACCTCTCCAGAGATGAAGTAGGTGCCCAGGCCATAGCGGAGGCTCTCTGGGGGAACGACCCACACTGAGGCAGCCTCTGGAGCAGGAGCAGAGAGTCATGGAGAAGAACAGCAGGGCAGAACCAACAATCTCCCTCCTTCCTTGCACTGCAGCCCCCTCCTGCCTGCATCCATTCACCCCTCTACCCACTCTTCGCCAATCTCCCAGCCACAGTGCCCCTTCCTCCCTTGCCCTCTCACCCTCCTCCAGTTGGCCCTCAGTGAACGTGGTGTTGAGGAGGCTTCCACTGCCGTTTCCTTTGAAGCCTGGGGGTCCCAAGAGGTGGAGGGCAATCTGCAGGGGAGCGTGGGGCCGGATGGAGACCAGCAGGGCATCTTCCAGCGATGTGATGTTCACTGCCAGGCTGAAGAGCCCAGCGCCCAACCCGGCCATGCTACTGCTCAGGGCAGAGGCCTCTCCGCCGTCCGCCTCTCCACCAAGCACAATCTGGGAAGAAGTCAGTCCCCAGGTGACCCTCCCCTCCCCTCTCATTGCCCCCTTCTCTAAATAAAGCTCTCTCCCTTCTGTCTTGCCCCCCTCCCATGCACAAGCCCAGAATGCCCAGGTGCCAAAACAGATGAGTTCCTGTCCAACATGACCGAAGGGTTAATTGGTCTTGCACAGAAATAAACCAATACCCCCCTAACTAGGAAATCATGAAGACCATTTCCAACCCCAAACAAAAGCCTTTCTGTTTTGAAGAGAGGAAAACAAGCAGACTTCACTCAATTCTAACCATGGGGTCGAGGTGATCCCCTTCCATTCAAGGAGACTTGCCCACCCGCAGCCCACCGCCCAGTCCTCAACTGTTGTGCCAAGAAGGGCTCCTCCACAGGAACCCCATCGGCACCCCCACCTCAATCTCCTCTGCGAGGCCCTGGACACGGAGGGGGTGATCTTCCTCTGCTTCCTTCTCCTCGGCTGCCAGAGCCACACTAGCCACACTTCCAATTGGCTTGCCGTTTAGATGCCTGAAGGGGTTGAGTGCGAAGGAGGCCACCTGGAGCGAAGTGGGGCAGGGAGAGGGGCGATGCTGAGACCTGCTCTCTGCCGACCCCCAACCATGTCTCCTCATGGGACCAAGGAGCAAAGAGAGACCCTCTACCAGCCTCTGGCTGTGTATTTATTTATTTATGTATTTATTTACAGTATTTATATTCTGCCCTTCTCACCCTGCAGGGGACTCAGGGCGGATTACAATGTACATATACATGGCAAACATTCAATGCCATAGACACACAACATATATAGACAGACACTCAGAGGCTATTTAACATTCCAGCTTCTGGCCACCAGGGGAGCTGTCGCTTCACCGTCCGTTTGTGACACTGATGAAGTACTTCCTCATTCTTTGCATACTTCCTGGAGATTTTTATGGTCTCGTAAATCAGTTAAATTAGCCTCCCCACGTAAGTGGTATCTAAATTTCCTACTTGACAGATGCAACTGTCTTTCAGGCAGCAAAAGTCGACAACAAGCTACACAATTTTGGTTGGAAGCTCACTCCTACCCAGGCTGGCTTCAAACTCATGACCTTTCGATCAGTAATGATCTTAATGCAGCTGACTCCCAGCCAGCTATGCCACAGTCCCGGTGCTCTTAGCCCTCCATTTTATAGATGGAAACCGGGACAAGTGTGGTAGAGATGGAAAAGAGTATTGAGGAAGAGTGCCCCAAACATAAAGTGGACCTCCCCGTTGTTGGAATTCAACCCCACACCGCTAAAGTCCAAAATGAGGAGCAGTTAGTTAGTTTAGTATAGAAGGTTTCTCTTTGCCCATGTCTCCTGTATGGTAGTTGGGAATGTGTATTTTCTTCTCTCTTCTCTCTTTCTGCTCTCATTCTGCTTGGTTGTTTAAAATGGATAATTTTCTATTGCAAGCTTTTTGATTGACTTCTGCCTTCTTACACTGTAGTCTGGAGAGTATGTGCTGTGTGCTTTGAGATCTCTCTCTGCTTGTGTGTCAGGAGAGATGTTGTGATTGAGTTTTTCCCTCTCTTGAAACCTTAGAAGAGATGGGTGTTAGAGTAGCTCAGACTCAGTTCTTTACTATTAAGAAATGCAGTTTTTTCTTATTATTGCAAATAAACCTTTTGTGATTTTTTTTAAATTGGACTCTGCATGTTTGCCTCCTAAGCTCTAATTCTTTACCGCCACATCACACGGCACTTCATGCTTTGCTATCTGTGAGCTGTTGCTCAACTTTTGTATCCTGTTTGTTTTTGGATGCTCTGCTATATTTAGGGTAGTTTTCCCTAACACCCCCGACTCTCTGGGGAAGAAGGACAACTTCCTCTCTCCCGGCTGAGTTCACTGAGTTTTTGTACTTTGAACTCAGCTTACTGCAATTTTAATAATTTGAAGGCAAAGGGAGAAAGTGGAGGAAGGAAGGGACAGAAAATGGAGTAATGTATTGTCGAAGGCTTTCATGGCTGGAATCACTAGGTTCTTGTGGGTTTTTTCGGGCTATAGGGCCATGTTCTAGAGGCATTTCTCCTGACGTTTCGCCTGCATCTATGGCAAGCATCCTCAGAGGTAGTGAGGTCTGTTGGAATTAGGACAATGGGTTTATATATCTGTGGAATGGCTGAGGTGGGGCAAAGAGCTCTTCTCTGCTGGAGCTAGGTGTGAATGTTTCAACTGACCACCTTCATTAGCATTTGAAGGCCTGGCTGAGCCTGGGAAAATCTTTTGTTGAGAGGTGTTAAGATGTGCCTGGTTGTTTCCTCTCTGCTGTTTTGCTGTTGTAATTTAAGAGTTTTTTAATACTGGTAGCCAGATCTTGTTCATTTTCATGATTTCTTCCTTTCTGTTGAAATTGTCCACATGCTTGTGGATTTCAATGGCTTCTCTGTGTAGTCTGACATGGTGGTTGTTGGTGTGGTCCAGCATTTCTGTGTTCCGGAGTATGTTACCAGCAGCTGAAAGGCATGTAGCCTTGTTGGGGGGTGGGGGGTCTGTACTTACCCGGACCTGGACGTAGCTCTTTGGCCCCATCAGGGTTCCCAACGCTGGGCTGGAGGGGAAGGTGACACTCACGGGTCTCGGCTCAGGCAGCTTGAAGGAGCTGTGGGGCAAGGAGGCCACAGTGGCCCTAAAGGGAGGGAGGGGGAAAGAATCACCTGGGTGTCATTGCGTCCCCCTCCCCGGACCCCTCCCCCCCAAGAGGCACCTGCTGAGGCTAGTGCTGAGTGCTGGGGAGGCCACCATTGTTGTCCCTTTTGGAGGGTGGCCAATCAGGAGCCCACTCTGGATGAGGGGCAGGGAGGCCAGTGTCTCTTCCAGGACCACCTCCCCCTGGAAAACAGAGGCCAGAGGCTAATGCCAAGGAGGTGTGGGGGCGGCGTGGTGGGAGTCCAATCCTGCTCAGGATGCCCGGTTACTCTGCCTCCCCTTCAGCCCTACATTGCCCCCCACCCCAGGCGCAGCCCAGCACCTCTTTGTGTCCCCCGCTGGACTGATCCATGGCCTGGAGGAGGTTGCCCAGGGTCTGAAAGAGGTCTTGCCAGGCGTTGCCCACAGGACGGTCAAAGGAAAGAGATTCATAGGAGCCCCCAATGCTGCCAGGGGCCTTCTGCCGGCTTCTCAGGAGCTGAGTGCTCAGGGACAGGAGGGCACGGCTGGCAGAGGCCTGCAGGGAAGGCAGTTACTTGTTGTTGTTGTTCATTCGTTCAGTCGTCTCCGACTCTTCGTGACCTCATGGACCAGCCCACGCACGAGCTCCCTGTCGGCCGTCACCACCCCCAGCTCCTTCAAGGTCAGTCCAGTCACCTCAAGGATGCCATCCATCCATCTTGCCCTTGGTCGGCCCCTCTTCCTTTTACCTTCCACTTTCCCCAGCAGTTACTTAGGGGACTCCTATTTCTAAGGCGGGGGGACAGGACTGGCCATCATCGCAAGCCTCCTCCCCAAGGATGCTGTGAGTCAGGGTAACATAAATGGCAGGGCCAGTGGTCCTCTCCCAGCGGGCGGGGGCGGGTCAGGGGCCATAAAGGGGCCATACTCCATCCCTGCCTGGTACCTGGGCTGTTTCCGACAGCAGAGAGGGGGAGCTGGTCAGTTCCTTCAGCTGTTGGGCTTCTCCCCTCGGGGGTGGCCCCAGGGACCCCTCGGCCACTGACTCACTGAGCTGGTCCAGTGCCTTCTCCAGGGCCTGGGGGGTGGGAAAGGAAGAGGCAGACCTGTAGCGGGGGGGGGGGGGTGGGGGTTCAACCCCCCCCCCAAATGTTTCAGATTTTTTTAAAAAACCTGGTTTACTCATGAATTTTAACTTGTTAACCAAATCCCCATGCTAAGTCTATGAGATGCAAAAAATTAAGAGTCCCTCCAGAACTGCAAGCACTATCTCAAGCAAATATTGACAATTTATTCACACTGTCATTACTTGCAGCAATAGCTGATGTAGTGAAGCAACCAAGTTGGGGTGTGTGTGTTGAATGCTCTCATTAAGGAGGCCAGACTTGGTGGAGGTGGTTGACAGGGGCGGAGCTGCAGGCTATTGAAGGCTGCTCTGCCCCCTGCTGTGCTCTTGGCTTCAGCGTGAGCTAGGAGGCAGGTTTCACCCCCCCCCCCAAAATTTAAACCCCTCCTGAAATTTTTTTCTGGCTATGGCCCTGGGAGGAGGATCAGTTGTGGGGAGGATGGGAGGATCTCCTCCCACTTAGGACTTGGCCTCCTCCCGACATGGTGGGTGGCCCCCTTTCCCCCTCCTCCCTACCTGTGTCTGCTCCTCAGGGGAGGGGTCTTGAGGACTGATGGTGGAGGGTCTGGGGTCTGGGCCTCCTGTCCCCTCGAAGGGTGACCTGCTTGTTCCTCTTGGCAATGGCTCTCTTGTGGCAGCTGAAGAGGATGTTTCTGACCGGGTTGTCTTGATCTGGGTGGCTGAACGGGTGCTGAGCTCTGTCTGGTTGATGGAGGCCTCCTGGGGGGCACTTGAAGGCTGGTGGGGGTCTGCTTCTGGCTGCCAGCTGGTGGTGTGGAGCTCCTTCTTTGTGGCAGGGAGGGCCTGGGTGCCATCTGGAGCCTGGCTGGCACTGGACCATGGGCCTCCCTCTGTCATCCCTCCCTGGGTGCTTGGAGGGGGGCCCGTTGGTCCTGCGGTCAGGATGGGGGGCTCGGGCGTTGCTCTCCTCCGTGGGGGTCTCTGTCCACAGCTGAGCCGCAGACAGGTTGAGCGCTTGTAAGAAGGAAGAAGAAGGATAACAGGGGGGCCTCAACCAAGGAGATCAGCAAGGATGGAGGGATGGATGGATGGAGAGGCAAATGAGGAGTGGGCAGTGGGTGTCCCCTTCCCGGATTCCATCTCAATGCCTTCCCCAAAACGTACTTACCCTCCGCTGGGGGTTGGAGGCTTCTCTTCGTATCCTGGAGAGTCCTGGGGAGAGCGTTAGTAGGCAGGGTGTAGAGCTCAGCAACCCCTTCTTCCAAAAGTGTCTCTCCAACAAGGGAGGTCAAAGTCCCATTCTTCCTCCCTTGCCCTTTTGGGTCCCAATGGGTGCTGGGCCTGCCCCACACCTGTCCCCCAAGTTTTCAACAGGACCTTTGGCCCCATGGAGGGGTGTCTAGAGGAGGGCTGTGAGGAGGAGGGCTCACCAGTCTGGCAGATGAAGAAGCGCTTCTGCAAGCAGGTTGCCCTCCTGCCCCAAAAGCGGTCCCCAAACCGGATGATAGCCTGGCATCCAATGGAGGAGGAGAGCCCAGCTGTGAGAGGAAGAGATGTCAGACTACCCCTTTGCCAGGCTGGCTGCCCTCTGTTCCCCACTCCCACCCCCATTAAGGCTTGGGAGGAGTGGGAGCTGCCCAGTTTGCTTGTTCCCCAGAAAGGGTTTGTGTTTTAGGAGAACAAAGCCCCCTCCCATTCAACCGGTGGGGTATCCATGCAGGGGGTGCTGTTTTTCTTCTGGGAGCCCAATCCTGCCCCTGCCCCCACCTGCCACTTGATGATGGAGGGTCCCCTCTACTTGCTGGCCCCATAGAGGGAGCATGCGGCCCCCACGGCGCCAGCACCAGGACCGGGTGGTAGGAAGGGCCCAGGGGGTCTGCAGCAGGCGAAAGCAAGCCTTTCCCCCCGTCGGTAGGCAAGTGGTGCCCAGTGCCCTGCAGGAGGAGGCAAGTATACCCAGCAAGAGGGCCAGCCACATCCCTATCTCTCCCTTTGCCCTGAAGGAAAGCAGGTGGGCAGGGGATGGCCAGGCTTTTATTCGTGCCCCCACCCAGCCCTGGAAAATGGGGAAGCCACAAAGAGAATAGCAGACAAAAGGCTGGTATCCTTTTGGGGGGGGGGCACACCTAGAGGATGAGCAGGTGCAGCAGCCAGCGGGGAGTGCCTCTCTCTGTCTGTTTGCCCAAACAGGGAGTGCCACTGTCCACACCCCTCTGGCCAGGAAGGGCAACCGGGCATGTGTACAATGGGGGGTATGCCTTTCTCATCATCACAAAGTAATTTGTTAAGAACAAACAGAAACATGAACATCCTTTGGTGAGAGAGTTTATTATTCTTTGGAACCGGTTAAACAATTCAGCTAACAATGCAGGAGAGGGCCTTCTCTTTGATCACAAAATTATGCTTCACATCTGCCCCCCTCCCAGGTTCCCAAAGGTGAGTTGGGTCATGAAGGCAGTGAATGAGCAAGTCACAAAGTGGAGGTGCATTATCAGTCCCCGCCCCTCAGGCTGTCCGATTGTGTTGATTTTGAGTCCAAAGACCTCTTCGGGGCAGATGGAGGCTTCGCTTGGAGGCAGAAGTCGGCTGAGAGGAGGGTGTGGAGGGGGGACAATTGATGGATCGGCTCCAGCAAGGAGGGGGGGCACTTAGTGGGCTCAAGTCTAGAGGCTGGGGTCCTGAGAGGGTGGCAACCCCCCTCACTGGAGAGAGCCCAGCCTGTAATCACAAAATAGGCAGGAGAAGAGCTTCAGGTGGGGGGCCATATCCAGTATGCCAATCGGGGCCTCTCTCTCTTCTCATTAACCTGTTAGGCCATTAAGATCATCCAGGGAGGCCCTGCTCTCAATCCCATCTGCGTCACAAATATGCTTGGCGGGGACGAGAGACAGGGCCTTCTCAATGGTGGCCCCTCGGCTATGGAACGCCCTTCCTAGGGACATTAGTTCGGCCCCCTCTCTCTTAACATTCCAGAAAAGAGTCAAGACCTGGCTGTTCGAGCAAGCATTTGAAAATGCAATGTAAAAGACATAGGGACTTGGAATGATTGGACGGTGAGGTGGATAATATTTTTAATTAGGAGACGCAAATGTCTTATGTTTTAATACTTTTGTTTGGCTTCCTACTATGTATTAATATTTTAAATATTTTATGTTTTTGGGCATCAAATCGTTGCCTCTGTAAACTGCCCTGAGTCGCCTGAGGGCTGAGAAGGGTGGTATACAAATATAGTAAGTAAGTAAGTATGTAGTCAGAGGTGGCCCTAGGTAATTTTCAACGGTAAGCAAACAGTATTTTGGTGCCCCCCCCCCCCCAACCAATCACTGATATATATTTTCTGTTCATCGTGGCAGTTCTGTGTGCCATATTTGGTTCGATTCCATCATTGGTCGAGTTCAGAATGCTTTTTGATTGTAGGTGAACTATACATCCCAGTAACTACAACTCGCATATGTCGAGGCCTATTTTCCCCCAAGAGCGCCTCAAGAGCACCCATGGGCAAAATCAGCTATACTGCAAATGCTTACTTTGCGTAAAGGGTGAGCCGTCCCTTTAAGTAAATAAATAAATAATTTCTTTGCCCCCTCTGCCCTTTGCATGGACATCGGAAGGGGAGAGAAGCCTCCACAAGAGACACGTTCCAGCCTCCCCAAGATTCCCCGATCAGAAGCAGTCCACCAGCTGTATCTGCTTGTCTAAGGAGACTTCCTCATATCCCACCTGGCCAGCCATCTCTCCTATGGACCCTTCCACAGGTGTGCAAATTGCTGACCCTCCTCCTCACCTTTCTCCCAGCTCGTCGAGGGACTCTTCCACAGCAGGCTCTTCCTCCTCTGCTTTCTTCAGGACCAGTGCAGAGAAGATGGCAAAGAAGATGACCTGTGAAGGGTGTATTGGGGAATAGCAGCATTGCAAAATTGGCGAGAAGCCCCCTACTCCCCCTGAGCATCCACTTCCTATCTTGAGTTTGCCACCCCCCCCCCCATACATGAGAATATAGGGAGCGGGAGAAGATACCTTGAGGGGCTGAAGCACTAGCAGGCTCTCTACCAGGGAGACGGCCGTGGAGATCAGCCAACGCTCGGTACTTTCCTTCCCATAATGGAAGCCATACAGCAGGATGAAGAACGTGGAGATGACATTGAGGGAGAACAAGAGGGCCCAGCCCACCAGGGATCCCCACCAGGGCAGGCTCCACTGGTGCCATCTCCTGAGAGAAGAGGAGGAGGGTTAGGTCCTTGGAGCACCCTCACTACTACTGCCAGCGTTCCCTCAAGCCCAACGGCCAGCATTGTCAGAAATATTAGAAATTAAATAGGTATTTTTAATTACAATAATGTGAGTCAAGCACTGAAAGGGTTAAATGGATACAATGACTCATCAAAAGCTGTAGTTCAATATAAGCAGGTGTGCCTGTAGCTTACTAGGTCTCAGTCTGTGAGGTAGGCCTCAGTGTGAGGTAGAGCTCAGTGTGAGGTAGGCCTCAGTGTGAGGTAGGCCTCTGTTTGAGAAGCCTAGTATGAGAAGCTTCGATGAGAGGAAGTCCCAGATTGAAAGCTCATGTGTGAAGCTACAGTGTGAAGGCTGCTGTGTGTAAAGCTACTGTGTGAAGCTCCCGTGTAACTTTGGTGTGAGAGGAAGCTCTGAGAGCGAAGCTGTTTATCTGCATGAGAAAAAAGCCCACGGTTATAAAGTATAAAGAACTTTATTTGTGTTATGGAAACCTTTTCTTGTAAATAGTGCAACCATATTATTTTACTATAAAGAAAAGCCTCCTATGGAAGAGATAACATTGGTCTGTGTGTTTTTGTTCTTTTTATCACTTTGCGCTGCTGGTGCTGGATTATGCTGCTGCTAATATTTTTTAAAACATATTTTATTATGCTATAAACACAAATCAACAAGCCATATTCCAAGTGTTACAAATGTAAATCCTGAGCAATTCAACAAATATTAAAGACATTATGCTAATTTACACTGGTGTATATTTCTACTAATCTTGCAGTTCCAGCCACTGGTAAAGTCTTTGTATTTTTTTCTTTGATGTGATCGTTGGCTCCTCCATTATTCACCCAGTTGAAGTAGACCTTCCATCTATTTGTAATGACCTTTTATTGTCCATTCTTATTGCTTGTTAGTCGGGGAGACGAAGATAGTTGATGCATATATCTATGGCTAAGCTACATTGGTTTTAAGTTGACAAATTCCTATATATTTGTATTCTATTTTAATAGGACCAGACGTATGTTGTATGTTGTGTTTGCACTGTCTGTTTTTGATAAGGCCAACTGGCTAATCAATAAAAATGTCTAACATGCTTTGCTATACATTTGCTATACATTCATGGGAGGGTCTTTTGTGGCTACTTACTTGCGGCAGGAGGGACGAGCAGAGGTGAGGCGTGTGGACAGGGCAGCCCCCATCTCTTGCACCCGTTGCAGGGCCAGGGTGCTCTCCCCCGGAAAGGGTCCTGCTCCTAATTCTTCCAGGAGCCGTGCCACACGCTGTAGCTTCAGAAGGAAGAAGCGGGTGCAGTAGGCCTCGTGCAGTGGGGAGGGGGCAGCAGTGGACCCTGCTGTGCCAGGTGGGGTGCTGGGTTGTGCGCATTCAGAGGGGCAAGTGGGGGTTGCAGGGGTGTGACCTGCAAGTGGGGTGGGGGGACTTCCATTTGCTGACCCACCCCTGCTGTCACCCAGGATAAAATGGTGCAGCAACTGCAGCAGCTCCTCAAGGTCCAGAGTGGGAGGAAGGGGCGCCTGATGGGGCCCAGTCCGCTCTGGGCTTCTGCTCAGAACCTCCACAGCAGAACGCAGGTGCTATGAGAAAGAGGCAGAGAAGGTGGAGGGTGGAGCCAAGGACCCTGGGACTCCAGACCCACAAGGGCAGCATCTGTGCATTCACCTCACTCTGGAAGATGATGGCACAGACATACAGCCAAGGAAACCCATTAAGGAGAGGTACCTTCTCGGGGCCCCAGAGTACAGTTTACCTCGGTAGAGTGGGGTCACCAAAGGAAACACATAATGGGGAGTGGGAGCTGCATCTGGAAAGGCACTCAAGGAATCCACGGGTGCAAGAAGAGATCCAGTGGGTCCTGCCCCTGCCCCACAGCTCTGCCCTCCCACCCAGGTACCCACCTCAAGCACAGCGGCCTGCAGACTGGTGGGATCGCTAGGGGCGCTGGGCGCAGTGGGGGGAGACTGACCGGGACGCCGACAGCCT